GGTCCCCCGCCCGCTGGATGGTGCCGGGTGGGGGCATGGAGCCCGAGGAGGAGCCGGGCGGCGCGGCAGTCCGGGAGGTGTACGAAGAGGCGGGAGTCAAGGGGAAGTTGGGCCGGCTCCTGGGCGTGTTCGAACAGAACCAAGATCGCAAGCACAGAACGTACGTGTACGTACTGACTGTCACTGAGCTGCTGGAGGATTGGGAAGATTCGGTTAGCATTGGGAGGAAGCGAGAGTGGTTCAAAGTCGAAGATGCCATCAAGGTTCTCCAGTGCCACAAGCCCGTGCATGCCGAATATTTGGAGAAACTAAAGCTGGGCGGTTCCCCAACCAATGGAAACTCCGTGGCCCGGTCCCTGCCAGATAGCGATCCCTAGTATGTACCGCTGCCGCACCGACTTAAGATTGTCGTTCCCTTGGCCCACGCCCTGCCTGGAGCACCTCTCAGGCCATGTGCGGTCTCTCGGGGAGGAGGGAGGCTTCTTTTGTTTCCTTGGCAGACCTCTGAATCACGGTTGCAAACTGTCTCAGTTGCCAGGCACTGTGTTCAGACAGTTTGCACGTTTTTCAGATGCTGCGAAAATCGCTCTGGGTTACGCTGGAAAATGTTTCGGTAAGCCCAGCCCCGTGGGAGTCTTTTTTGAAAGGTGCCTTCACTGCTCACTCACCCTGTTCATGCGGTGGGGTGGGGATATGTGTGAGCGTGAGCGTGAGCGCGAGCATCAGTGAGCTAGCGCGGGCGCGTGGGCCCTGCCTGCGACTTTCTTCTTTTTAGACTAAACACATATTTGTGCGTGAGTGTGCGTGCGCATTTTGGATAGCAGCCTTGTGGTGGTTTTTTTTCGTCGTGGAGGCCTTTAAAGTCCTGCAGGCGTGTCTGTGTGTGCATCTTTTATTATTTTTTCCGCTTCAGGTTTCCCATTTGCTCTCATCAGAAAGCCCTTTTGGTGGGAGTTGCTTTAAAGAATCAGTTTGGAATTTTTACATATTCGGAAATTTTACATCTTGTGCCCTCTGTGTACTGGGAGGTCTTGTTAGCCTCGGAAATGTCATCCACTTGGCCCTTTTCGCTATTTTTTGGTCCACTTCTATGGAGATCAGTTGATTTTCCATCATTGTCAGAACTGGAATTTTTTTCATGCTGACCTAAAGTGGCCATTTTCCTTACAGTTCAACTAGGTTTTACCTTAACAGAATAGGTATTTCCGGGGGAATCTCTAGCCAAGTGCACCTTGCTGCACACTCTTCTCATGGTCACTGGCTTCTTAGAGTGAGGTTTAGTGTGCTCTACCACCAACTCCAATTGCCTCTTTCTCCATGCTCTGGAACAATCCTGGTTCTCAAGGTACATTCGTTTTTCAAAGAAGGATATCTCCCATATTTGAATTTCATGACATTCCAGTTAGACTTCCCTCACTCTCAGTAACCACAGGAATGGAATTTTTTATGGTCATTACATCCTGAATGAGTGAATAAGTTCTCTGAATATTCAGTGGTTACAGAGTTCTCAAACTATTAGTACACATGAACAATTTCTCATCTTGAGGGTCTATGTTTTATATTAAAAGACAAAAGGTATTGGATGCCAAATTAAAAGCTTAACATTTGCCTTGATTCTCTAGTTATGGGAGCAGTATTCCACATAGAAGACTGGTTCAGATTCAGGCTCCAGTGGTTTGAGAATCGTGCTGGGCACCTATGTATGTTGCCCAAAATCCTGACAGGATGAGGAAATGGAGAAGAAGGGATTAGTGTGACCACACCTCACTGGGTGGTGCTTGCTATTGTTCTATGAGGGTAGTCCATGTGCAGTCTAGCAATTAAAATAAGATTGAGGGTAAGGGTCTCAGGTGACACATTTTCAGGGTAATTAAGAGTTCTTACATTTTCCTTAATATTATACTTGGTTGAAATCAGGTATCTCATCTGAAATACATACTGTAAAGTCTCTTTTTAGAACTTCTCAATTCCTCTAGCCATGTCAGTAACTAGGCAGAAAGAAAGCCTTGGGAGCAGAAAGATCATTACTAATTTTTAGGGCAACCTAGACTATGTCATACATCGTATACCTTATTGATAGGTATTTTGAGACATTCAGCTAACTCTTTTAGGTCATGTATGTATTCTGTATTACAGAATTTTGAGTTTTGCCATGTGACATGTTGTTGTTTCTCTAGAAGTTATCTTGTTCCATAGAGGTTGTAGAGAAACCTTCTTTTTGAAGAGAGAATGGGTGGGGATATCTTAATACATATAATGCTTAAGATCTTAAAAGTATTGTACAGAGCAATAATACATATATGTGGATAAAATTTATAATTTAAATATTTTTATTATACAAATAAGCCTTAGAACGCAGTCATTGATAGAATTGAGTATTACTACTTTTGTAAAGAAAATCTTTAGTGCCACGCTTTTTTGTTATTAGGGAGAGATTTTTGCCATAGACATGTGCATTTTCCAGAAAGACAGACAGAGACAGAAAGACAGAAAGTGAGAAATCACCCCCCAGGGGCATGACCACACCACAGTTCCTTTTCCTTCATTCTCCTCTCAGGATCTTGGGCCCGCATGCACACACATCTAGTGTGAGTTTAAGCCACTAGATCTGTGACTCAAATTCCAGTAGACTACGTGGGAGTCCAGTAATGGAACCATTATGCCATCTGCTGGTCCCAGTGCCTCTCTCTTGGATAAGATCTTTGCCATACAAATGTATATCTAGCGACCAGTAGGCAACAGGGTGGTTAAGGCACTAACCTGGCTGACAGTGGTTTCAGTACCAGACCTCCTGGCAGCTTACTCATTTTATCTCCCTCTCTCTCTCTCTCTCTCTCTCTCTCTCTCTCTCTCTGTGTGTGTGTGTGTCTGGTAAGTGCACATGCCCTATAACAATTTTAAACTGATAATAATAATTAATAAATAAATAATTTTTAAAAAGAGACCTATCTAAATAAAGTACACAGCCAAAATTATTTTTCAAATAAACGAGTAGAAAATGAAGTGTAGAATTTCATATTCTAAATTATGTAGAATTATTTAATGTTGTGATTATCAAATTTCTTTTAGATATAGAAAGTATCTCCATACCAAAAGTCATAAATATCTGGGAAGTTTAGCTTACACATGGTATTCTTAGAGATAACAGTACACAGTAATGTTTTAACTTTTGGATCATGTATTTGACAAATGTGCAAACTACAGTGTTGATGTTAACCAACTCATAAGAGTTGCTAGCTTGTGGGGCTGACAGGCAGCATGGTGGTTAAGGTGCTAGACTCCCATATGACTGACCAGAGTTCGAGTCTCAGACCTGGTGGCTTTCTTTCTCACGCTCCCTCTCTTCTCTCTCTCTCTCTCTCTCTCTCTCTCT